TGATGCTGTGCAGAAGTGTTGGCCTGTAACGCCGTTTATAACTTGGAATCTTTGTCACGGAATATTTCCGGTAATTTGAACCAGCCTGCATTAAAATATGCATGTGTATGCTTAAATATATCTATACAAGAACATACTTAAAGCAATTGTGCATATTAAAGTTTTATAAATTACATCATGCACGTATTTTGATTTTCTTTTAGGAAAAGTTGTTATATTTATATTTTACAAATTTATTTTTAAAAGAATAGGGTAAACCCGCAATACTTTAATGTCGTGCAGAAGTGTTGGCCTATAACGCCGTTTATACCGAATTTGAAGTTTGCGAGTGACTGAACTGTTTTATAGTTCCTCTTGCACTACTACTATTATTATATTTTGACTGTTCTATTTTGGGGCTGCTTCTGTGTTTGAACTCTGTAATAAATGAATAAATGAATCTTTGTCAAGGAATATTTTCGGTAATTTGAATTACCGGTAATTACAAATATGTGCATACACGAACATATTCAATGCAGTTGTACATATCAGATTTTTTTTAAAAATATCAGCAAATATATTTTGTTTTTATTTTTGAAAATGTGTTTAAATTTAAACTGTAAAAATCATTTTAGGAACACCGGTTGTAAAAACATATCTTTTAAAAGAACGCGTTTTCTAGTTCAGGTGTTTTAAATGTCAGGATAAATTTTTCAATTTTTCTTCTCTTTTTCTTTCCTAAGTTTGTCTTTGTTTCTATTTTATTACGTATTTTATAAATAAGTTACTTTATGTAACCATAACCATAGTACAGAACAAAATACTAAATGCTTACGTTTTTGCCCCATTAACATAATACAAACATTTTTAATTAGTGATTAATCGCGAGGCTTAAAAAGAGGATTAATTTCATTCTGTTTTTTTCGTAAAAGGTTTTACACTTTGTTTTTATTTGAATTTGTATTTAACGTAGGAGCTAAAAAATTAGATCATTTCTCCAATAGCGAAGTTAGATTGTATTTAAAAACTTAATTGATGGTTGTAAGTGTTATTTTGACTGGAAAAACACAAAAACAATTGAGACTACAGTAAATAAGTTATAAATAATATGCATGTTCGTTAGTGGGCCACAGACAATTTCAATTGGGTTCTTTTTTCCCCAGGATTAATGGAACGGAAGTTCAATAGGCATTGGAAGGATTTGGCTGGATGTGACACAGTGACAACCAATAGATGTCTCCCAGTCCAGAGATTCTTTGAAAGGGAACGTTGACCGGAATAAAGAGAAAGTGTATCCTTTATTCTCCTTCGTTCAAATCGGCCCTTCATCATAGAACGAGATAACAAGGATTTATGTGAAGCCGTTTTATGCTCAGGTCGAGAAAAAAAACGAAGAAAAAACTGGCAGATCGCTGGAGCTGAGATTTTTCGCTCGTTACGGTCTCGCACGTGTCTACGGGTGAGCAACAGGATATTTCCCAGAAAATAAAATGAACTACTGCCCAGTACCATGAGGCACGAATTTAACTTGAAAAACAAAGCTAATGAATTATTGAATTCTGAATAATTTAACTTATTTGAAAAGATACGATTTTTTTCCAGTTATCCCCATCTCATTTGAATAACAAGATGAAAGTTTCAATATAAATTGTATTATTTTCCATATAAAATTCTCTTTAATGGTAGCGATACCGATCGGAAGAATTAAAAGAATAAAAATAACCGTATATGAACGAATATAAAAAAAAAATTATGCGTGGAATATAGGATTTTAAACCAAAGTGAATTGGCTACAGTTAGTCCAGTATTCAAACGGTATAAAATTTATTGATAAGCCTTTTTAAAATAAATATAAAATAATTTTTAAAATGTTGTATAAATTTATCAAATGAACAATAAATAAAAAACCAGTTAATTTATATCATAATTCATATTACTAATTATTACGTATGAAATGAAATATGGCAATAATCTCAATACCACACACCCAAAACATACTCCGACGTTTACGCTAATAAATATATTTATTCAAAGTAAGAATATTATTTCAACCAATCTATAAAAGGCTCCCTATATCAACCATATACATTTATCTGCTTCAGAATAATCCCTGGGTCAAGGATTTGGACCAGACTTTTTTGATAATTGTACACTCCAAAATATGGGACATTATATTTCTTGGGAATACGTTCTGGTTTCACCCAAAAAATTGTGAAAGTTAAAATTTTCTCTATATGAATATTTGTATTTCGCCTTTCCACTTGCTCAAATCAACTATGTGAATATATCATATTTCAGCATTTTTTAGATTGCAATAAAAATATAGTAAACGATACCAAAATTTATTAATAACCAAAAAATTTTTCAAAAACAAATATTTTTCAATAAACTAGGTTGTACATTTCGTTTCTCGTAAAACTAATAGAAAATTTGGTTTTAACGCCTCTAGACTCTTAAATATAAATTTTTGTTTGGATTTAAATTTACTGTTAGACCTATAAATTTTTTAAAGATTTTTGGGAAGTCGTTATTGGAATAACAACGAATCAGATTAAAACAGCTAAAAGAATTTTAACGACAAAAGCAAACCATTTGAAAGAAGAGGTACGTAACTTTTTTACAACGTAAGCACGATTAAAATATAAAATATTTTTATGAGAAAATACACTCAATAACAAAATTATTTGTCAGAAATTTTATTAGAGTTTATTATTTAGAAAGTTTTATTCGAGACATCACACTTCTCGAGTAGGTTGAATTAATGCAAAGCTCTACAAAGCAAATACTAAGTCAGGAGAGGTTTTCAGGTCGCAGGAGGAAAGGGCCTGGACAGAGAAGTAGGCGGTTGGAAATTAAAAAACATCCATCATTCCAAAGCATGGACAGGCCGAATCCAGGACAAACCACGAGAAGTGAAACAAGACTCGACCGTTTCCTTAGATGGGAAAGTAACATTTGCTTGGTCAAATAGAATCCCAGATTTGAATACTACAGCTAGAAATCCAGTCGGGATTAATTTTCTTGTAGTAATTAAATGTTATAATTTCAGGCGTGAGATTGCATTTCTAGATAAAGAGTATGCGTCGTGCATACAGGATATTTTGTCAATTGTTTTAGATCAACAGATGGTACGTGTTTAATTTATAAATTCCACCTTTTTTTTTTTTAAAGAATGTAGTTATAATTAATGAAGCACGCTTTTTTGAAAGAGCGGCCGGTTTGTAGGGTCCGATATCTTAATTGCCATAATGGCGAAATTCGTTGTTTTTATTCGAAACGGGTAAATTTTCGTTTTAACTCTTTTCTTTTATTAATACAAAATCAAGAAATAAAATTGTACAATTATCTCGTTGCTATTTAAACCGAATTCCACTTAAATTGCGTCTATAGATTTTCCGGGAGAACGTTTGATTTATTAAATATAAATTTACTTCTTTTGGGTTTACAATTTTAATACAGTATAGAGTACGCTTCATCCCTGTTGGAGTTTTATGTTTCACCGGTTTTTCAGTTTTCAGAATTTCAAACTGGGTTGAAAATATTTCTTCAATCTTTAATACTATTACTTATAAAATTATTATTGAGAAAATTTTTTTGTTATCAAGAATTCTGGTTTGTACGCAATTACCAAGTTACTTTCATTCTACGAAAAAAAAAAAAAAAATTAACCATTTTTAATACTCTCAAATATAAAATGAAAAGTTCTGGTTGATATTTCATTAATTGACGGTTAATAATCAATTTTAAGATCCGTTCGTTTACATACTAATGAGTTTTTTTGGCAAACACTCTCGATACAGTCTAAAGTTATGCGTCTTAGTCGGCAATAATTTTGTTCAGAAATTGGATTAGGCATGAAGAGAATTGCGTAGTGTTGTTATTCCCCCCCCCCCCCCAAAAAAAAATGGATAAACTGACTTTTTGAAACGTGTAGTGAAATTAATATGAGAAACGACGTGTATTTTTGAAGAGTCGGTTCAATTGAACCCCCCCCCCCCAAAAAAAAATCTTGAACTTGAATGTAATTGAAATTAAAAATTTCCACCTTATCATTTTGCAATTCCTCAAATTTTTTTAGAAGATGTCAAAATATTTCATTAAACTTTTTTATGAATGAGTGATTTTTTCCAGATTTTTTCCTTTTTACTTGGTATATTAAAACCTACCTTTTTATCAAATTTCACGTTTCTAGCTATTCGGGAAGTGCCTTATAATTTTGATTGGTGAGTCAGTCAGTAACAAAACTGCAAATTTTGACATTCTCCCTTTTCAAAAAGGCTTAATATTAAGTAGTTAAATTTTTACAATATCCCAAGAGACCTAAGCTTAATTTATTTTTCAAATTTCAAAAGCCCATATTAAGAGGAAAAAGGGCGAGAAAAACCGGGTGAATTGGTTCGAGTAAAGATACACATGGCAGCTTGCTGGAACTTGGCCAGCGCACTTCCAGCCGTGTGCTCAGAATGTATATTTGTAAAAAAAAGAAAACAAAAAAAAGCCTATTCTGTAAAATGGTTTACAAAGTATACTGATTCTATCAGTTAAGATTAATGATGGAGGAAGGGGAGAAGATTGTTAATGACTCGAGATATCGATTTAGACATTTTACCCTTTCGTTATAATTTCAAAAGGAGTTAAAATGTTAATCAATAAATTTTGTTTTCATTCCTGCCCCTATGTAAAGTTTGGAATAATTTCCACTTTTCTGAATAAAACAATGGTAATGATATAGATTTCGATTTAATTTAATAAATGGAATGTGAATGTTTTTACGATTTATGACGGCTTATGGTGTTAGAGCGTTGGACGATTTCAATTTGTAACTGGACGAGATGTATGTAGGCCAATGAAGGCCCCCATTCCGTATCCTGCGGCAAGGTCGTGAAAATGAAAAAAGTTTTCTCATAGAGATTAATCAAGATTTTAGTTTAGGGAGGGTGTTAAAAATGTCTAGAAACTCCGCTAGAAAAAGAGATAAAACTAAATTAAAAAAGAAAAAACTCCCGTGGACGAGGGGTAGGTGGCGGTGGGGTTGGATTTGGTCCAAGTTGGCAAACGGTTCGATTGCTAATGAGGGCCCAATTATAAAGTGGGGGTCAGTTGGTTGGAGTCCAAACTTCATCAGAACAGGCTCATAACGCGGTGTACGGTCCTTCCTCATAATCCTGTCTCGGGTTACTATATTTCTATATCGCGACAATTAATCCTTACAACAAAGAGTGAAAGAATAGAATCGTTCCAGTGGAAAGGTAACGTTTTATCTCCATACGGAACAAGTTGACACTTCACAGACGAATCAACCTGAAACAATGCTTTCATTCAGAGTTACAAAGATTAATATTTTATCACATTCATGCCATTGATTCAATAACAGTGCGAAACAGAAAGAATCTCTCTACTTTCTAATAAAACCCTGGGCATTACGTTTACACATGAAATAATTTGGTTTATTTGTCATCAAACTTGATTTTTTATATTGTTTATTCAGAACTTCATGTTGAATAGATGTTTTGTTTATACCGTGCTCCAATTATTGACATTCTAAGTCTACCAAAAAGATCATAATTACATAATTATCCAAACAATATGAATTATACTCGTAAAGCGCTGAAAAATCGAATGGCATTATATAAGCGCAAATCTGCACATGTATATTTGTACATACAAGACCAGAGTTGAAGTTATTACTTCTCGAAGTCCACCGGCAATTTCAGCTTTTGTAACTTACAATGAGAATCACCCACCCGGGGAGTTGGCAATCCGAGGGCAGACCTCGGTTTTATCCGTGCAGCCACCGGAATTGGCTTCAGGGAGGATTCTCTCAACAGCTAGGTCAATTCAGCATCAAACGCATTCACGTTCTTTCTTAAATACATTTTCTCCTTTTTACATACTATTCATTCAATTAGGGTGATGGAGTTTTCGATATCCCTCCGTTTCACTTTACACCTATTATGTAACTAACCTAATTGAGGGTGGATGGATACTCAATATTGTAAGTCGGCCCTTTTGCAATACACATTCGCGCTAATACATACATTCATTATCAACACACGCTAGATACAGGAAACTATATACAAACCAACCTAGTTTCCTCAAAAATTCGGAACAGGGAACTCAGTTATTAGCTGCCGTAGTCAAGCACGATAGTCACATGTGGTGGCATTCCTAAACATCTAGCCAAGGAATTGCACCTCTCAACTAGTTGGGACACATGAACCCTTTATCTACATGCCGGACATGCTTTGGCCCAAAAGTGAAAAGAAAACATGCATTGCTAATTAAATTATATTGAATTATCAGAAAATACGTTCTATCGTAATATTAAAACGAGCCTAGCTCAGGTTAAGGATACTAAACAGTTGTGGTCATCAGCGAAGAAACTGACTTATCAACCGAATAAAAGTAATATCCCACTAGGAAAATGGACTGAGGATTTCAATAAAAATTACCCTATTAATAACTATACCGATATTTCTACAGGAAAAATAGTGAATCCTGATCGCGGCCTTGACTTGATCGGTTTTTAACAGGCCATATGCAAAAACAACAAATCTCCAGATGATGACGGTGATGATGATTTACCTATAAATTTTATAAATACAGATTGCGAGCACTATTTATTTGAAATTTTTGAAAAGATATTCAATCAGGATAAGTTCTTAATAAAAAATATAATTTAAAAAACCCTTACGAATGACCCTAACAGTTCTGGGCCTATGGGATAAAAATGTTATATTGAAATGAGTAGAGACAAGCTTTGTTAAAATTCCATACCGGATGTCAACAAATATACCGGATAACTTACACTTACTGAAATAGATGCTAAGGCCGTCAAATTTATTGTTTTACAAAAAGTAGTAATTAATTGGTGGCTTAAAGTACTTTCATTTCCTCCAGAAACCATAATTCAAAAATCTTTTTCTTCAGTTAGTAATGTAGACCTATTGAAGAAAGAAAATAAATAACTGGTTCTGTCAACTCGATTTCTTACTTGTGAACCTAGATTCCCTGGAATAAATTTGCTGTGAGAGTTTAGATTTTATAAATTACGTAAACAATCAGACTCCAACAAGATAATCAATTGAAAATTGGAAATGCAACTTCGCAATAAATTATTTCTTTTTCTTCTATTTACAGTTATAAAAACAATATGAAATGATTAACGGTTTAGAACATAAGGTTCAAAAATTAGAATATTAACAACACGGAAGGAATAATAACATTTATTAGAGAGGTTTTCCGTAATGTTTTCCCTATTTCAAGGTTACCGTTGTAGTTAGCGGCTTTCAAATAATGTTGACGCTATTTGAAAACTTTTTGCATAACGGATTTTGCCGCTGAGGCTAAAGTTTCCTGGGGGGATTGTAGTAGTTTAGGTTATAGACATATCTTGTAAACATGTATATAAAAGCACCGCTCGCGGATGTTAGGGATTTTCTCTTGACTGCTGACGATAGATTGGCATATACTGATGACCTGATAGTTATTGAGGTTCTAACTTACACCGAGCGATTCAGACAAGCTCAGTTAAAATGAAATTGAGGACGAAAAGTGTCCAAAACTCCTAAGAAAAAAACTCTTTTAGCTTAACTTAGTAATTTTAGGAAAAAATAAAATATTACAGTGCAGTTAGTTAAGCATATACATTCCCATTATAACCACAGTCTATACCTGTCTCTTAGAATTTTGGCTTTTAAATTGTATTTAGCCCGTTCAGCCAAATGGTCTGTTCTACACAATTGCTATGGCTTTATTGAACGAGAGATGTGTAAGGTCGCTGAATTTCATTTTGTATGTAAATAAATATTTTAATGTTGGAACATCAAATATACATACATTCTTAGGAGTCGGAATTCATGAAAACTTGTACGAATAATAATATTGTTGTTTTAATTTATACAATATTCCCAACAAAACACTACTTCGTTGACTTTACCATCACTCGTTAACAAGCACGCCATTCCAAGACAAATAACGTAGGACGCTATTCCAGATAACGTTTCGTTAAATCTGCGCATGCGTACTTTAATCAATTTATCGTTACCGTTCACGCTATTGTTATACCAACTTTCCTCAATAATTGGGAAAGTCTTGAGGCTTGTTGCTTTTAGTTATATAGGGGTTGCTTGGATTTAGATTACGAGGAATCATGGAGAGCAGCGTGCTAAGTTAAGTTGATTGATTTTCTTATTGAAGACGATATATAAGTATGCCATTGATGACAGTAATGCAGATTGGATTTTTGACAATTCTAATTTAGATATACCAAAACATATTTGTGTTTTTATTGATACAAATTAAACTCATAAAGCAAATTATATAAGTCAATGTAACTAATAAAATATATAATATTGTACCAAGATAATTTTTTTAATAACATTTTTGGTTTTATTTCTAAGAGAAAGAGATATTTAAAAAAATAAAGAATCGGTGAGAAAGGAAACCGCTATAAATCATACGTTGATATGGCCAATCAAACCCTTGGAATTAAGGACAGTCACATTTCATTCTGTGATGAATGCTCTCGGGTCAGCCGATTCGAAATTTGGCCGATTGTTTTCCACCCTGCTCCTATTCTTCTCTCTTCGGGGGCAATTCTATCTGGGCTTTAAAATTCTAAGCTTTAAATAATTTGAAACAGGGCATTCATTTTGATCGAACCTCGTGTATTTGATCAATTTGGGCTCAAAAATATGACTCCCTAGAATTTTATGATCACCATGGATAATCGTATTTTGTTACAATAATATCCCTCATTCTATGCAGTGCTGAACAATTAAAAAAATATATTTCAGACTTTTAACAATGGAAATTTTTGAATTCTAATCGATGCTGTTCAAACCTGTTCAAATACTAATGAGTAAGAGTGTCATTTGTTCAATTTACCAACTTTACAAAAGCGCCCTTGAGTTGAAGACCTTTGCTAATTGATTTATGTCTTTATTTAGATGAACTTAATATTTTACTAGAATGAATTAGTACTTTTCAAGTTAACATTAGTTTACGAATGTAGTTTTCTTTTCATAACATAACGACGATAACAATCCCGTTATCACGTTTGTTATCGTCGTTATGTATGAATGCGTCTTTACTGCCAATTAAGAATGTAATTTTAATGAATCATTATGCAAGCGCATAAGAAAGTCATAGTATTCAAGCAGTCCGTGATTACTACATAAATATTATGCAATTTTTACTAACGGATTACATGTAAATTTGATGTATTGTGTATAAAGACCTGCACCGCTATTTGTTAATTACAACCTGTGTACCTTATTAGGATGTACACATTGATCAAACGCATGTGGAACAAATTTGAAAGCCGGTCTGAATCAAGTTATAAAACATTCAAAACGGAAAAGACCCTTAATATTCATCGACCCCTTGCTAAAAGACTCACCTTACCCTCATTCGAAGATTAATTTTATATCATTAATTAATAAAATAAGGAATTGTTTAATTTGAATTTCTTGTAAGGAAATTTTAATCTGTATATTTAAAATGACAAATCATGAGATTTCATTTAGAGATCAATGAAGGTGATGAACCTGTAGAGAGACCTTGGCAATAATTGAGAATAATATATGTAAAACATTTATTAATGATATACTAAACTGTTTAGTATTTAAAAGAAAACAGAATATAGATCTTCTCCTTTTAAGAAGGACAATAAGTTTTGATAACATGTACGTACATAAGTATGTCATTTATATATGCTTATAAGTAATTGAAATATATTTTTCTTCTGATTTTTTTAAAATGAAAATGCTTGGCTACGGCAAAATTACAGAATTGTTGCCTAATATGTCTGAGTCAAAACGTAATATTAAGAACACAGTTTTCTCAGTCAATCTTTTCAAAACCTTTTTAACTGCCTTAAGAATTTGCAACGCCCTCCAGCTTTTCAACAAAGGGAATAATGTGTAGTCTTTAGTGACCGTTAATTAATGATTATTTAGAGGTCGTGAGATTATGTGATGTAGGTTTAGAAAAACATTTTCTTTAGATAGATAGATAACATGCTTTATTTACATTAAAGAGAAGCATTACATAATATACAATATTAAAAGCATTTTACTGCATGGATGGTTATCCGTCTGCTGGCAGTTGGCTGTTCTTTTTCAGGCGTGCGAAAAAGAAAAACTAAAAATAAACTATATAATAATAGTAATAATAGAAAACTATAAATAAAACTAAATTATAAAAACCAGCTGATTTTAGGTGCAACAAGTAAAACTGTAAATAA